TTTATATATATATATATATATATATATATATATATATAGAGTAACTAATTTTGTGTTTTGTGAAAGAAGTTCATTCATTCAAAGCAAATGATGACAGATTTGTGGGTGCACTGTCCCTTTAACAGTGTTTTTAGAGCGCACCACACTCAGCTGATAAAATGTGTCACAACCAGTGACTGTATAAAAACATGGACGTAGTGACCGACGGCGACGAGTCCACCTCGATCTCCTTGCGGTAGAAGTCCTCTATCGTCGGGTCGTACTTCTCAATGAAGGATCCGGTGACGAACTGCACGGTCAGCGCCGATTTTCCCACGCCGCCGGATCCCAACACGACCACTTTGTATTCTCTCATGGCTCTGAACGCTTGGGCAGTCTCTCTCTCTCTCTCTCTCTCTCTCTCTCGCTCAGGCGCTCTCTCTCTCTCTCTCTCTCCGTGCACCCGTGTCGAGCCGCCCTGCTGTTTTCAGTCCGCCGTTATTCCGCTCGCCGCCGGTCTCCGGGATCGGGTGCGGCCGCTGCTCCGTTCGGTGAGTGTTCTGCGGTGAGGATGGCCTTGCTTCCGACCGTGGCCCAGCATTAGAAGCGCATTCCGCCGGACCGTGTGCCGTGTCTGCGCTCCGGGAGCGATCAACGCGCCTCTCTATCGCGCAGACGCGCGCGCACTCTTCCTGCCCACCGGCCGCGGCGCGTCACCAGCGGAGCGTCTCTTAAAGGCGCAGTCACACCAAGCTGTTTGTGTTACTGTCGACTCGTATTTATTCAAACAATACAGCTTCACATTAATACACGGGAAATAATGTTGCCAAATTCATCAGTTGACAAAAAATCCAGTTTCAGCTTTAAAGCAGCTCTGCTGAAGACAAGAACAGTGCCATTGTTCAGATCGGCTCAGTTCAATAGCTGGCGCAGTGGTATTGTCACATGACTTCCCTCTGCAGGACACAACATGCGGAACTGGTTGGTCTTTCCATGCCATGACAATGACTGAAGATGAATAGCTACGGAAGCCAGTTTCCAACAGGAAATAAAAAATTATTAAAGTAATTGTGTAATTGTTTTTATCTCATAATTCAGTTGTGAGACAAAAATCACAGTTGTGAGATTTAAACTCTGAATTCTGACGTTTTTTTCCCCTATCATTCTTTCTCTATAATTTTTTCCCCACCATGAAATAAAAACAAAAAAAAGGTAATAGTGACTATTAATCTCACAATTCTGACTTTTTTTCTAAGAATTTTGATTGCAAGGAAAAATTATGAGATAAAAAGTTTAATTTTTTAATCCCGTGGCAGAAACAAGCTTCCATAGGTAGCAACAAAAATTATGTTTAAAAAAGTAAGTTATCACATTACTTCAGAAAACCTGGAAAATAGTGCATGAGTCATGTGGACTACTTTGATTCAACATCTAGGCTGATTTTACTTTTCTGCTGTAAAGTTGGGCATTTTAACATGGGGAGTCTATGGGACTGAGTCACTATTGGAGCCAGCCTCTAGCGGCCAGTCGATGAATTACAGTTTTAGTCACTTCCGTGTTGGTTTCAGAGAGAGAGCGGAAGGTTGCCGCTTGGTCACAACTCAATGAGTCCCGCTGGACTCTGACCAGAAAACATCTCAGATTTACCGTAAACTCATCTCATGTTATATCATTCCTGCGGAGAGTTTCAAAACAGTTTGGATATGTGTGAGATATCATGAGAGTTATGGTCACCTGCTGGCCCTGTGTTCAGATCTAATCCAGCGGAGCGATAATTCACTCTATAGACAGGTTTAGGGTTTTTAATAAAATATGGTCTGTGTTTAAAAAGATTTGAAGAGTTTTGTTAATGACATATAAATCTCAAAACTAAATGCAGCTTCGAAATCCAGATGTCGCTGTGTGTATTTATGTTGTAGAGCTCAACATGGAAGTCTCTTCAAATAAAGTTCATCTCAATTACTCATGAATGCAAACCCCAGAGGAAGCTCCATGAATCCGTCAGGTTTATGACTCTATTATATCCAGTAATGCGTGTGATGGAACTCTGTACCAGAATTGCAAAACAAAGACAAGGTTTCCAAAGTGTAACAGCAGAACCAGCGTCTCAGCTTCTGTTTTTCCACAGACTGTGCGGATTTGTTCTGACACGCTCGCTGAACATATGTGGTAAACTGGGATATTCCCTGCCATGTGACAGTCAGATGAGTCTGTAGCCTATAAGAGTGATCCCTGACGGAAGGATAAAACCTTTCGTGTCACCAACATAATCACCATGTCATCATTTACAGTGTAGGAACTGATTACATGTAATCTGGATTATGTAATCCGATTCCAAAAATTACATATTTGTAATTAGATTACATTACGTTCTAAAATACTCAGACTACAGTTACTTTTTTATAGATTATGTGATTACTTTATATTCAAAAAATGGCAGTGATTCATTGATCCTCCCGAATTCTTATTCTTTATTTAAATCTTTTAATTTTTTAACTTTTTGGAAAAAAAAAAAAGAGCAACCACACAGCATAAACTTATATTCAAAAAATGGCAGTGATTCATTGATCCTCCCGAATTCTTATTCTTTATTTAAATCTTTTAATTTTTTAACTTTTTGGAAAAAAAAAAAAAAGAGCAACCACACAGCATAAACAAATAAAATATATAAACTTTTTTTTAAAAAATGTGTTTAAAATTATTTTAATAATTCATTTTAAAATATTATTTTAAAAATATTTTATTATTTTAAAAATATTTTAAAGTGATTTATTTCTTTTAATTTCACATTTTTAAGATTTAATTAATCATTTGCTTTTCAATTTATGAACCCCTGCAGTTCCTTCACAAACCTTAGTTAGAGAAATCCTGGCGTAATTTAATGTTTAAAATAAACCAAAAGTAATTCGACTGAATCGATTGATTCGATAAGATGAATTCAGCTAAACCTTTCGTGTCACCAACATAATCACCATGTCATCATTTACAGTGTAGGAACTGATTACATGTAATCTGGATTATGTAATCCGATTCCAAAAATTACATATTTGTAATTAGATTACATTACGTTCTAAAATACTCAGACTACAGTTACTTTTTTATAGATTATGTGATTACTTTATATTCAAAAAATGGCAGTGATTCATTGATCCTCCCGAATTCTTATTCTTTATTTAAATCTTTTAATTTTTTAACTTTTTGGAAAAAAAAAAAAAGAGCAACCACACAGCATAAACAAATAAAATATATAAACTTTTTTTTAAAAAATGTGTTTAAAATTATTTTAATAATTCATTTTAAAATATTATTTTAAAAATATTTTATTATTTTAAAAATATTTTAAAGTGATTTATTTCTTTTAATTTCACATTTTTAAGATTTAATTAATCATTTGCTTTTCAATTTATGAACCCCTGCAGTTCCTTCACAAACCTTAGTTTGAGAAATCCTGGCGTAATTTAATGTTTAAAATAAACCAAAAGTAATTCGACTGAATCGATTGATTCGATAAGATGAATTCAGCTTAACTGGGATGCTTATTTGTTTTTTCCCAGTCATCTCAAAGGTGAAAAGTGTCCCAATTTACCTGAATTCAACCCTATATTACTTAGAATGTGTAATGTACTCGATTATGCTACTAAGTATGATTTTCATCATGTATTTTGTATTCAGTAGTAGACTACTGTCATGTACTCACACTTCTGTCTAAACAATGAAAGTCAATGGGGTGAAACATTGACAAAATCAGGTGAAACAAGATAAAAATGACAATTTATAAAGGTATGCATTTGAAAAGTCTCTTGTGTTTCCGCAAGCTGTGATGTTCGGTGTCTCTGTCCACATGTTTGGACATACGGAGGAATGCTTTCAGAAGCACACTTTAGCCCGTGAAAGCACATTCAGAAGGACTTTGTTGCTCATCACATGATGATGTGTTTGACTCTCTCTGTGTTGTTTGATGCGGCTGGAGCGTTAGCAATCAATCTGATGGAAAGACTGTATTAATTATCATCCTGCACTCCACTGGTCTGCGCCACCTAACACTAACATGACTGTACAGACATCAATACGACAGCATCATGCGGCTCACTTCTACTCATGCAGGCTTCAGACGGGAGACAGAAAGCTTTTATCACAGCTCATCAGCGCCAGTCTTTGTTTTCACTGATCGTCACACTACACTCGTGGATTGATCGGTTCAGATCGTCTCAAGACAATCAGTGGCTCGTTACACCTTCAAACAACACACTTAATCACTCTCATTAAAGAGATCGCACCATTCAGCACATGCACAGCCTTAAAACACAGGCCACAGAGTGCTGAATAAACATTACCTTTTCTTTTTATTGTTATATCATTGTCATTAAAAGAATATGATGCGATTATTTGTTTGTTTGTGGTGTTATTTAGTTTTTGTCATTTGTAGTAGTTTTGTTTTTTTATATATGTCTATATAGTTTTTATTAATTTTTATTTCAGTTTTAGTTTGTCATTTTGCTACACCAAGTTAAACTAAATTAAAATGAGAAATATTGCCTTGGCAACTAGCTGAAATAAAACAGTTTTATGACAGTTAATGTTTATTTTATTTCAAGTAAGGAAAATGTTATTTTTAATGGTTTTAATTTTAGTTTCAGTTTTAGTTAACTACCCTGTTTGTTTATGTTTGTTTGTTTGAATGATATCATGTCTTTTTTGAAGGGATTGTAAAAATAAATGATAAAATGTAACGACATAAACTTGTTAAAACAAGTCTTGACAGCAGACAAACACTGAAAAACATGTGACTTTTTAGTCAGAATTTTCAAGTAAATTTCACAAATAATTACAAAGAAAGAGTAGATAACATTGAGTTAAATGTGAAAGTTTGACGTAGAAAAACCGAAATAGCATTTTTTTAAGTGTACTCTAATCTGAGTTTCTCATGCGATACAGCTGCTGACAGTGAATCCACATCAGATCCTTTAAACTGGAATTACAGCTTGTCTGCACACGCAGAACTCAGAGACCGGCCATTTACACAACATGATCAACACTGTGTGTGTGTGTTTGTGTGATAGTGTGTGTGTGTGTGTGTGAGTGAGA